TGATGCTCAACTCAAGAACACTCGACCTATTACTCTTCTGGAAACAGTTCGAAAGTGTGTTGTTAAGGTCATCACGAATCATCTTTCTAACATCCTTGCCGATAATAAAGTTCTCCAAGGAGGTAACTTTGCTGGTTTACCTGGTGGTTCTACTGATGTCCCTATCAAAATGCTTGATGCGATTATCCATCAACAAAAACATGACTCCACTTATGATCAGGAACTATGGATCGTTTCTCAAGATATCTCTAAAGCCTTTGATTCTATGGATTTGAATATGCTTAAATTAGCTTTAGTTAGATTACATTTCCCTGCACATTTAGTGCAATTTATTTTGAACCTTTTCACACGACGAAATAATAGGATTATTACTTGTCATGGTGATACTGCTGCTTATCGTGTACATATTGGTATCGATCAAGAAGAAATTATTTCCCCTTACTTTAGGTTATCTACTTGGACTCTCTCCTTACTGTTTTAAATCGAAAAGCACGAGACCCCTTTATTTTGAAATCTTCAGCTCTTTTGAATTATTCTCCACTTGAATTTGAACATTCTTTACCAATTTCACATTTAACGTTTATAGATGATTCTACACTTATTGCTTCTTCTAAGATTGGCATCGAAGATCGCCTTTCCATCACTGCTGAATTTTATACTTTAAATAATGTTCAAGCCAATTCGGCTAAATATGTCCTTCTTTCATCCTCCTCTCCTTTTTCGCAGATTATTTTTGATCTTTCACCCTCTTCTCTGGTTACTACAACTTCCCTTTCTCTCTCCTCGTTAGCTCTTAATACTTCATTTTGATTTTTAGGAGTTTGGTTTTCTTTATCTGCTTCGCCTCAATTTGTACTTAAACAATCACGCTCCATGGTTAAAGAAATGGCTGCTCTTCTGGGACTAAAAAAGTTGTTAGTACAACATGTAGCCTACTTGTACAATGCTGTCCTCCTTCCAAGATTGGAATTTCGTCTACAAACTACGCTTTTTTCCGAAGGTACTACCCATTTAATTATTACACCTATACTCTCAGTATTACGGAAAAAAGCTGGATTTGCTGCGACTACTCCGTTAGCTTTGTTATTTCTTAAACTTCCTTTCTCGATTCAGAATGCTTTCTATCGATTCCTTTCTTCCCATATCGCATCTTGGCAAAAAATTTTCACTCATCCTGATTTCAAAGATTTTGCCCTCTATGCTATCTCCTATCTTCAAGGATATTTGGGTGCTGAAAGCTGCCCGTCTGTTATTAACTTGGAACCGTGGTCACAAGTTATTTCTTTGCGGACACATACTTTGTTTAATTCATTGTTATTTTCTTCATGTTTGAATATCACGTGGTCCCTCCCTTTCTGACCTCTGAGGCAGAATCTACAACCAGCGTTATCGCTTCGATCCATCTTACCGCATTCGATTTTTCAGACTGCTTGGAAACTCTGGAAATATTTGAATATTTTTGTGCTTGCTCAATTGGTTTCCCCTTGTGGACGTTATCTTATGAATTGGTCTGATCTTCGGTACCTTAGTATTGTTAGTCGTAAAGAACGGATCTCTACTTGGTTTAATTTTATTAAAAATAATTTTCTTTCTTCTTCTTCTTCTTCTCTATTGTTGCCTTTGTATTTTATTAATTCTTCTTTTACTTTAGCTTCACCTTGTTTATTAGATCATACTGTTAAAGATTATCACTTTATCCTCAATGGGCTATCAATTTTGATTCTGCTACTTAAACTTTATCTGTAAGCCGTGTCTGTATCACCTACAAGAAACAAAACTCTGCTATCATGTCTCATTGGCTTCCTGTATCTTCTTCTGCTAATGAACGAACTTACAATCCTTGTCCTGGTTGTTCCTTTAATATCCCCGCTTTATCCAAGAAATCTGCAATCAAACAACGCTGTAATAGTGAGAAATGCTTTTTCAATGTGATCTTATTAGAAACCATAGACTATCCTACCAGAAACGCCAAAGTATTTGCGGCTTACCTTCCCATAACTTTATCTACTTCATGGAGTTATGCTACTTCTCTGGTCCTTGTTCATTTGACAAACCCGTCTTTACTTACTTCTTCCGCCTTTTCTCCTTCCTTTAAGGATAGGATAGAAGATGATGTCTTGCCACTTTCTATACAATCTTTGTATATCGATGGTTCTTTTCATGTTGCTAAGGACTCTTCACCTCCTTCCATGACTTCTGTCTGGCTTGCTCTTGATGATGATGGACTTATCATTGAATCTTCCTCTTTACAAATTCCTTCATGTTTTCCTTCAGCCTTACGCTCTGAGATCTATGCTGTTGTACTAGGATTAAACGCTCTTTCCCATGGCTCTTTAATCTCTATTTATACAGATTGTAGTCAGTTAATTTCATTATGGAAACGCTTTGTTGATGTTCCCTTCTCATCAAAGTTGCTTCGTGAACACAATCATCTTCTTTGGCTTTCTATTCGACAACTTGTCAAGGATCGTAATCTTAAAGTCGATTTGATTAAAGTCCCTGCTCATAGCGATGACTTCTACAATATACAAGCGGATTCCCTGGTCAAAGATGCTCATTCGTCTTTACAACCTACCGTCTCACCTTTGGCATTTTGTTATGCTCCCTGCTTATTAACTTTTAATTCTTTGCCTATTGTCATGAATATTCGTTACTTCCTCCGCTCTATAGCAGATGCTCGTGCTCTTTTATCCTTCTGTTCAATGGCACGATTCACTGCTCTTGGCTCCCTTTCGCTCTTTGACTGGGCTGGTATACATTTTTGCCTTTCACAAATTAAAGGTTTTGCTTCGCATAAGAATGGTCGTCCTGAATTTTGGATCTTCTGTATCAAACTTCTTTTGGATATACTACCTACCTTAACTACTCTTCAACAACGCAAATCTTATTTATACTCCCCCGGATTGGCTTTGTCCACAATGTAACTCCGCTTCTGAAGATTTGAATCATCTCTGGACTTATCCTTATATCCTTCTGGATTTCAATCCATGTTTAACACATCGTTCTGAAGTTGCTAAATTCAGAGATTCCTGTTTATCCTCGTTCTTATCTTTGAAACTTTTGGATTCTACCTTTCAAACTGGATTCTCTGCTCTAGATTGTTGGAACTGTGAATCTCCTTTTCCGTCCTGTCTTTGGCTTACTAGAGGATTGTTACCTGCGCATTTGATGACGTTTCTACAACAATACTTCCCTCTCTCTGTTATATACAAGACTATTTCTCCTCTTCTTAATGACTTCCAGATCGAACTATATGGTGAAATTTGGCTATGTCGGAATGTTCTTTTCCATGCTTGGGAAGAGTCGCAGGGTATCTCGGCTGCTTCCAAAATACATGGCCCATCTTCAAAACCTCCTTCCACTACTATTTCTTCACAAATTTACAACTCTTCTTAGTTTGGCGACAGTTTCTCAGGATTCCTGGATTTCTTGGATATTCTCTTCTATAATTCGGGGTGGATCATGGATCTCGCACTTGGATTTTCTGCGCCGCTTAACAGTTCAACCTCTTAGGATTTCTTTCTGGTAACGGACTGGATTTTTGGATGTTGGATAGTTGACTCACACTGGCCTTTGGGTAAAGTTGGGGTATGCGATTCTGTAATAGTTTAGTTTTTCTTTGCTTTAATTATTTTAGTTTAGATTTCTTTACTTGTATGAGTCGTGAAGCTACTCTTTTTATTTTTTATTAGTCTATTTTCTTATTTTTGTAATATTGTTCGATTATAATTTCGAAGTTAAAATATAAATAAAAGATAAAGTCATAAGACTGTTTGCACAGGAAAAGGATAAAACTACCACTATTCGATTCGTCTCAGTGAGATGATTCTAATAAGCTATGATACATCTTTGTACGATTATTAGATGCCAAGTTATTTAATATGATTATAAACGGTTCTTTTTAATATAAGATTTTTGAGGATAGGTGTGATAGTGACTATAGATAGATTGTGACTATATAGGATAGTTTTTAATAATAAAGTGTTTTGAACATTCAACTGGTGTGACTATATAGTAGAATGTGACTATAACGGGAGTGTCTATAGAGGGAGTTGACTGTATTCTTACAGATAGACGCAAGATTCATAGTGTTTGTCTTGAATATCCTGCTACTAAAGCTGAAGAAAGGAATGATGTTTATCAAATAAAAGCTTTATAGGATACTAATGAAACCCTTGAATCATAATTCTGATATGATTGAAATGCCTATTATAAAAGAACAAGAAGCCTTAGAACCTATTTCTTATCCAGAAAATAGTACTTTACATAATAACTCACAAAATGACCTAAAATTACGTTCTCAAAAAAACTACCCGCCCCTTGAAACCAGTTCCATTGAAAATGATTTAATATCTGACTCTGATATCAAACAGTAAACTCAAGACATTACTAATTTGCAGGATGTGTATTCTATTGAAGATATTTCTTTTGAGAAAGCTCCATTGGGGGATAGAAAAATGGATGCTTTTTTGGATGGAGAATATACACACGTCAAATGACCAAAAACAGGCAAAAAAAATGGCTAGAATTGCATAAACTATTCGCAAATTTATATAAACTATTTACAAATAGTATAGGTTAATTCGCAAACAGCCAAAAACAGCCAAAAATAGCCAAAAATAGCCAAAAATAGCCACAGCTTTTCACGCCATTTTTTTTGCCGATTTTTAGCATTTTGACCTGTGACAAGAAAAAGGTTAGTAATGAAATTAGGCAAAGAAATAGGGAAAAAAAGCTTTGAGACTTGGATTTACCTGGTACTTTTAACATCCCTTCATTAGAATCATCCACAAGTTCGCATCGTATCTCTAATAATAACCCTGTCTTATCAGAACAAAATGCTAAAATAAATAAAAGTACCTGAAATAGATATACAGCCTTTGATACAAAAATTGCTTATAAAACCTTCGGAAGAAGATTGTGTTAAGGTTATTAATGTGGAGGAGAGTGCTGCTGTTGATCAATTGCCTGCAATCGAATTAGCCTATCTATATAAAAAAATGAAATTTGCTGAAATTAAAACTATACGAACCAAATCAGATGAAATCATAAGCTGGTATTGCTATAGAAGGTATTTTGAAAAAAGACATAGTGGGATTTTGCCTGGAATCCTAAAGAATAGACTTATTACGAATAAAAAAGCCTATGAACTTGTGAGTGAGCAGATTTATGATAAAATGCTACAGCATTTTTCAGAAGTCTCTTGTGTAAACTTACGCAGAAAAACCCAGCTAACTAAGCCCATATATATATTATTTAGCAAAATTGGAGAAAATAAGATTATGCAAATCAAATCGTATAGTGCAAATAAACTCTCAAAGTTAACTGACATGCAAATCGATATTATTAAAACAACACTGCGTGAAAAAAATTTACGCACTCACGTGACTTCAGAAATGATCACTAGCGATGCAACTGCACCTGCCAAATCTAAAGTAAGAATTCCAATTGCACCCACTAATTCTTCAGTCCCAGTCAATTCACCAGTCATCCCATATGATGCTCATGCTCCCTATATCAATATGACTTTGAAAGAATATCTCTACCTATTCTTATATAATAGTAATAAACATAATGACTAAACATGGGTATCAAAACTCCTAAGAGCATTTCCGAATGTTTCGGGTTTTGGTATATACGAATCGAAACTCAACCCGTAACCTAAACTTCTACCAAAACTCAAAACAACTTCCGATATTCCAAAACCTATCCTGATATCCCGAAACTAGCATTACCCAATTAAATTACTTAAACAACTGTGCCATACGTTATAATTGACGAAATCACGTGCTCAATAATCATCAAGAAATTTGTAATACCCGACGCTATATGAGGATTGAGGAATATAATGGAGTGAACAAATTCTACCCTAATAGTTATATAGTTAATTTGGATTTAATATTAGGAATAATTTAATAGTGAACAAACTATTAGAAATTGAACTTGATACCTTTATTTAAGATTTACTGTAAGGAAAACTAATAAAAATTTTGGGCATATTTCAGTTTCGGGTCAGGATTCAGGAATCGGAAAAATATATGCATTTCCAAAACTCTATTTTGTATATACCGAAACTAACAGAGTTGTGGGAAGTTTCAGTTTCGTTACCCATGTTTAATAATGACAGATATGAATTTAAGAGTTCAGGCTTATGTCCTGGATGTGAAAAAGAGCATGATAAAGGAAAGGTAGTTGGCCGAGATATAAAGGGCTCTTACTACATTAAGTGCCGGTCCTTATTGAATGAAAAAGAAATCAAGATAAATGCTTCATCGGAAATGATTTCATCAGACATGTCTCAAGCAAATATATCAAAGATGCGAGCCCAATCTAAGCCAACTTATGACCGCACCTATTTTCACAACAAAATATTGGATCAATATCCTAATCTATATAGAGAAGGTAGTAGTGAAAATTTCGATTATTATGGGATTACTGATGAGATATCATGCGGAGTCTCAAGAGAGACTATCTGCCCATTATGCAATTTAGGTCATGATGATGAAGAAATAGAAGGTAGGTATAAAGCCAGATCTTATTTTATTAAATGTGAACACCGGTCTGACGCTGCCAAATAGGCATACATCCAGTCGCCAATAGGCATCCCTATTGTAGTTTGATAGGATGCCGATTGGAGAATATTGTACCACATTCAGCTTTGCCGATTGTGGCCGGATACTGACTGCAATAAGATCATAATCGTCTGGACTATTGGTAGCATTAGGCATGCCGATTACTGAAAATTGAGTTGTATTAATGGTAGTATTATTAAAAAAAAATTCATAATCGGAATACAAGTAGATTGACAAATTAGATTCAATTAGAAATTCCGATTGATCTTTGATTTAACAATTGGAAATTACGGGTTTAGAATGTTTATGCATTTTCGTTATATTAGATTAAAAAATTAAATACAAATCGGAATGTTTGATTGCACTTAATTTATTCAATTGTTTCAAATAGTTAATTATATAAAATAAATGCTGATTTAATAAAATTCAAAATTACACGTTTTATTTATTTGCAAATTAAAATAAGCAGTGAAATAAAGCAAAAAAAAAAATAATATATATATTATTATTCTATATTCTACACTCTTGCAGGAAGAGTATTTGAAGATCGCTCCATGCAAGCTTTTTGTACAGCCGTCTTCAAGGAACCGGTATAGCCACTAATAGTCCAATTTGATGCTTGAAATGGTTTCGTCCGCTCCTTATCATAAAAATTGACGCTGTCATGAATTCGAGTTCACTTCTTTGGAACTTTAGATGACTCGGAAAATATGCGATCAATATAATCGCGTAAAAAATATCAAAGCTACAAAACGAAAATTGAAATATCAGATATGGTTATATGAAATTCCTAATAGAATATTTATCAATGATATTTCTTACTGTAGATGAGCGCCACTTTAAGTCTCTCGTAACAATCTTCCTTTGACCAGGGTTTTCGTCATCCGTCTCTGAGATTTCTGGAGAATAATATAACGAATTACTCTTAATCGGTAAAAGTTCCTTAATCTTGAACATTTTAACCAATGGATCATCAATTTCTTTCAAATGGTCGATCACGTTTGCTCTATTTGTTCGCTTCTATAATTATAGTATAAACAATAATTAGTAAGTAAATAAAAGAATCAGTTTATTCATTATAATTACTTACATCATTTCTTCTACTATTCATATGCTTTCTCCTTGCTTGTTCATCTTGGAAAGAAGTTTCTTTCTGCTTTTTTAGAAATTCCTCGCGTTGATGTTTATGTCGATTATGAATCATGTCATAAACAATAGCCTCAGAAATGGATACATATCCAGATCCAAAGTCTTCATGATGGTCAGAACTATTGTATTGTTTACAAGATTTCGCTGAGAATCAAACGTTTCATTTAACTTCAATTGCTCTTCGGTTGGAATCCTATTAACGATCCAAAAAATTTGACACTAATTTAAAATATTTGTTAATATGTATATATATTATGTAAACCAAAAATAAACGAAAATTACTTACCCTAATGGCATTTCGAAAATCCTGTGGCAGATCATTGATATGTATATATTTAGGATCATTATGACTTAAATTAGAACTTGAAGTTGATTGAGTGCGGCTTCGAATTCTTCTTAAAGAACGATCTCGAGCTGCTTGTCTTTGAAACCGATTTCTTCTTAGACTTCTAACAGCTGGTTTGGTTCTAGAACGACCCCGATCCTCCCGAGTTCTAGATTGACCTCTAGAACGACCCCAATCCTCCCGAGTTCTGGATTGACCTCTAGAATGACTTCGACCTTCCCGAGTTCTAGATTGGCCTCTAGAACGACCCTGATCCTTTTGGGTTCTGGATTGGCTTCTAGTACGACCCTGATCCTCTTGGGTTCTGGATTGGCTTCTGGTATGATCCTGAGCCTCCTCCTGAGTTCTGGATTGGCTTCTAGTACGATCCTGATTCTCCTCCTGAGTTCTGGATTGGCTTCTAGTACGATCCTGATCCTCCTGGGAAGTTTGATCCCGACCTTCTGGATATTCCAACTCATGATTTGTATTTGATGGTTCATTCAATTTGTTTTTCAAAAATTCTTCAAAAAGCTTTTTAACCTTATCATCCTGTAAAAGTGAAGCGAGTTGATCTGAAATAGAAGTCAATGTATAAAAATACAATATGAATATGTATGTAATCAAAAAGTTAAATTTACCTTCATTTCGTTTCTCTTTTTTTTTATAATATTTCCTAGCCAATTCATTATCGGATGGTTCATAATCAGACGACGACCTATGTATGAATTTAATTGAGTTAATTATATGATAATAAGTCGAATAAAAATATTATTACGACTTTACTTGCCGATTGTGTTTAGATCTTCTTGGCCGTCTGCTTCTACTTTTACTATTGTCATAACTACTTGATCTTGACCGTCTATTTCTATCTCTACTATATTTTCTATGACTTTTTGACTTTCTATGATAAGTTCTTGACTTTGACCGATACCTGTTTCGATCACGTTCAGAACGAGAAGAGTTATTGTATTTACGAGTCATAATAGTATTGATAAAGTATAAGATTGTAACTAACTTTTTTTTGTCGGTCTAAAAGTCGGTCTTTTTATAACTTTCAAAAAGCATATCAGAAAAGATACTTTTTGGCGTGAAGTATCTTTCATGAGTTCATTAAATTTATAATAAGCACAAAATAAGCTTACGTATATACATTTAAATAAAATATTCATTAAAAAAAAAAAAAATTCTTATTAGTCCAATGGACTATATATACTTCTACGCAGAGGTGACACAAAAATGTCTGTCTGCCGGCACGTGACGACAATGTATTATCTATCGCTAATATTCGAATGACATAAATTTATTTTTTATTAACTATATCAATTCGATCTATATCTATTTAGTCACGTGATCTTAATTGAAAATGATTGTTAATATTATTGAATGATATAATCATAATTGGAACAATAGCCCATAATTACAATTGGAAACAATAGTCCAAAGATCAATAATTTTTATATAATTTGAATTTGGATAAGTTTTATCTACAATAAGTTGTTATTTTTTTAAAAAAATGTCTAATCAACAAAAATCTGAAGTTAAAAGACGTACAAAAGTTTGCCCAAAAGTACCGTGTCCTTGCAAATTATATAATGGTAAAATCATTGATTCTAGAACTAGAAGTATTCATATAAATGAGGAAAATCGGCTTGAAGATTCAGTTACTAAAATAATGGAAAGCAGAAGGAAGAACAGAAGAAAAAATTCGTCATCAAACCCAAATAATCGTCCTGAATCTGCTTCAGTTAAAATTCGATCAGATGATCCTGATGATATCGAGCCTTCTCAAGATCTTTGTAGAGATGAAGATATAATAATTGATCAAGATCAATATGAAGAGCCGGTTATTATTAGAAAAAAGGGAGTAAGATATAATCGATTTCAATTTCGTGAAATGACGATCATTCCTGATGAAGAACCAGAACAACAAGTTGATTCATCTGGTGATGAAGAAGGTTCCCGGCAGATTTTAGCTGATGATGATGTTGAATATAGCGAAGATGATGAACTGTTTTTAGATGATGATGATGGAATGTTTACAGCACCTGCTTCTAATTATGATTATGATTCAAATCAGGACAATATGGATATGGATGTGGATGATTTATGGATTCTTCTTTGGATCTTTAAATTCCAAGAAAGGTTCAGACAATCTGATGTTGCAATCGACACGTTGATTGGCTTCTTTAGCCTTGTTTTAAAAGATGCCAATTCACATCGGTTTAAAAAATTTCCTCCAACTGTTTATAAGGCCAGAAAAATATTAGATATTAAGAAAAAATCAAAACCTTTGCCGTTTGTACTGATTGTAATAAGCTGTATGACATTGCATCAATAATTCCAGCAAATTCAAACGATAATGAATTTTCAGGATTTAAATGTACTCACGTTGAATTCCCAAAACATCCAATGCAAAAATATCGTGAATGCTGTGGATCCGAATTACTTATGAAGGTCCCGGTAAATAATGGATACATTTGGCGTCCAAAGATGTTGTATCCATTATCATGTCTTAAGTCACAACTATCTATAATGTACCAAAGATCAGGATTCGAGCAACTTTTAAAAAAATGGATTAATCGGGATAATGTGAATTGCATGTCGGATATTTACGATGGTGAAATTTGGAAGAATTTTCCATCACGATTAGATATTCCGGATCCTCTAAAATTCTTTACATCTGAAACGGCGGAATTAAATCTAGGAATTATGATCAACCTAGACTGGTTCCAACCTTTCGATTTATCGATATATAGTTGTGGCGTGATATATGGGGTTATATGCAACTTACCCCGTGAAGCAAGGTTTAAAAGGAAAATATATTAACATTAGGTCTGTTGCCGGGGCCACACGAGGTAAAATTGCATCAAATCAATCATTATCTTGCGCCAATAGTAGACGAATTATTAGAACTGTGGAATGGTTTTATTTTGCCACCAACTGATAAATATCCAAGCGGTAAGAAAATTTGACTACAGTCAACTCCCTCTATAGTCACTCCCGTTATAGTCACATTCTACTATATAGTCACACCAGTTGAATGTTCAAAACACTTTATTATTAAAATCTATCCTATATAGTCACAATCTATCTATAGTCACTATCACACCTATCCTCAAAAATCTTATATTAAAAAGAACCGTTTATAATCACAGTTATATAAAGAATATATTAAATAACTTGGCATCTAATAATCGTACAAAGATGTATCATAGCTTGTTAGAATCGTCTCACTGAGACGAATCGAATGGTGGTAGTTTTATCCTTTTCCGATCACTGGCTGACGAGTTATTCAACAAAATGTTAAACATCGGCATTATAATATTTCTTGATTTACGTTTACTGCGCCATTTAACATTTTGCTAGATTTCTCGGTACCTAGTGATTGTAAAAAGACGATTTATAGCTCGTTGGAATTGCCTCATCGAGACGAATCGAATGGTGGTAAGCTCATCTCTTTGTGATCAATATTAATGGAGTTATTACTTAAAAACCATTTAATATTTTTTAATTTCGGAAATTGATCTAGTGATTGGATTTCGATGTATTTTATACCATTAGAACCGTCTCATCATGACGAATCGAATGGCGGTAAGATCATCTCTCTACGATTAATATTGGCGATGTTACGATACAATAAAGTTTTAAGTATAATTCTGGCTAAAATTATGTTAATTTTTGGCCGGAATTATGATATACAAATATAAGAAATTTTTTATATAGTCACATCTCTTTATAATCACTAAATATGGACTGTCCCAAATGTGTGACTATAAAGAGAGTTGACTGTAGCAGTAATATGTTGTTCATGCAACATACCAGCTGTGAGGAAACTGTGTGGACATATATCTGCGTTAGTCGGATGCCATAGATGCTATAAAAGAGCAAGTTGTGATGATAATGCTCAGAAACAAAACTTCGGAGGATTCGATGATATGGATGATTGGTTTAGAATGAAAGATCTGCAGGAGCATTTGCATAATGCTATCGCTTGGAAGCATCAAAAGACGAAAGAAGCTCAGAAAGACCATGTTAGCAAAACGCATGTTCGTTGGTCGGAATTATTACGTCTGCCCTACTTCAATCCGATAAGATTCTTAGTCGTTGATCCAATGCATAATTTATTTCTCGGTCTTTTTCATTGGATCGTAAAAAGAATCTGGATTGATAAAGGAAAATTACTAAATCTGACCTTGAAATAATGGAAATTCGTGCAAAGATGATCAAACCTACCTGCCGACCTAGGTCGTATTCCATGTAAGATTTCCACTGGAGAAGGCTTTTCTGGCTTCACAGCCGATCAGTGGAAATTATTTATTATGATTTACGCCACTCCGATCATGTGGGATCTTTTAGATAGTGTTGATCAGGAAATTTTGGCTAATTTCGTCAAGGCGTGCTATCTATTGGTATCTCGAATTATCGATGAAGAAAAATTAAGTGAAGCTCACAACCGATTATTAAAAGTTGCTCGCTTAATAGAAAACAATTATGGACCAGAAATGGTAACACCAAATATCCATTTGTCTCTTCACTTATCGGAGTGTTGCCGAGATTACGGTCCAGTATATTCGTTCTGGTGTTATTCCTTTGAACGAATGAATGGGATATTAGGTAACTTATTTATTACCAAATAATAAATTTAAGTACGAATTCTAACTATATTTTAAAAATAAGGATCACTTCCGAATTCACACCGTCAGATTGAACCGAAATTGTTACGCATTATTATGCAAAACTGGCGGTTAGATGAACTGATATCCTGTCATTTACATAACCCAAAGCTTACTGAAGGACTAGGATTGATCAAGTCTCGGCTAACAACGGGAAGTTTAGCGGCGTATGACAACTTTCAACATGATGAATTACACCGGTTTATGCTTATTTATAATCTCGAAGTTGAAGATATTATAACCGGTAGTGAACAATTTCCTGGAAAAATGATGGCTCCAAGAAATAACTTAGTAAATTTACCAAACGAAATATATAAACTTCTGGTAGATTACTATAATAACGCTTATGAATTAGAATTTGTTACTATAGCCGGATCTATGAAGAGCAATAATAAACCAGTTGTTGTCTGGCCTCAAGTAAATCAATTCGGGCGTATTCGAATCAGAGCAGAGATATTCGGATCGACGAATACACCCCGCTACTTAAAAAATTCGTTTATTCTTGCAAAGTTCGTGCAAGAAAATGATTCAATAGAAATATACCCGGGCCAAGTTTAGTATTACTTTGAACATGAGTTGAAGATAGGGAAGGAAAAAAAGGTAATACATAAATTGGCTTTCGTAAAATAGTTCATACCGGCTCCAAATCATCGAACGAGATTTCATTTTCAAGTTGACAATATCGAAGCCTGTAACGCAGAAATCTGGACAAATAATTTTTTTGAAATCGATAGAGACTGCATAATTCCGGTACACAATATACTTGGTCGATTTATATTAAGTGTATATAAAATCGGAAAAAGAAATCCAGTAGTTTATATGGCTGTTCTTCCTATAGGAAGAAAATTTAACATATAATATTATTAATATTATTATAATGTAAATTATACAAAATTGTTAGTTATTTTTGTTAAAAATTTATTAAATTGGATTGTACAGTTGACGACCAACATAATATTTAGCAATAAACATCAATAAGCAACCAGTCGCTACTTATTTTAATTTAAATTGCCAAATAATCTCGAATCAACTGTTTTATTTAGCAATAAACATCAATAGGCAACCGTTCGCTACTTATTTTACTTTAATTGCCAAATAATTTCTAATCAATTGTTTGAAAAATCTTAGTACAAATAAATACCAATCGTTATTTAGATTTTGACAATAAACATCAATAGGAAATTTTCCGATTCCATCTAATATGTGATGAATACTGGTTGCTTAATATTATATCATATTATACCATCGGAATGACTATGAATTGACAAATATACTCCAATCGGCAAGATTGCCGGTTGGACAGCATTTTACCGGTGGAACAGTGTGAATTGAGATAACTGCATAGTCCTGTTCACTTTGTAAACGAAATGATCTAACTATTTTTTTGGAAGTATGATAGACAGCTTTCTATCTGAAAATTTTTAATCTTTTTTCAAATTGATGAGAAAAAAAGGATTTAAATTGTTTGCAGTCATATAAAAAGGAAAATGACCAAGTCTGATAAAATACTAACCACTGAATATCTGAATTGGCATGCCAAATTAAGTGGGTTACCAAGCATTTTGACAGATAAGATTCGTTCCAATTTATATAAAAGATATAAAAAAAAAACTGGAAATGAGCCATGGCAATTATCAGAAGTCATGACAAGTATATCAGAAAAATCTCAAGCCTCTGATTTCAAGCCTATCACTTTCGAAGCCAAACCTGATCCAGAATTAATTATCAGAACCATGTTAGAGCATTTCACATACTTGAAATTCCGAAATAGTTTCAGAGGAATTGATAATTATAATTTTGCATCATCTCAGCCGTGGAGCTCACCATTTCCTATTTGCGATGGAAAACATGGGAATTATGGATTACATGGCGAATGGTACTGCGAGAATGGGAATCAGTTCCCTTATGATCCTGAATTAGCGAAGTTGTATTCCCAAGATAAGTTGGAATATTGTCTTACTTGCTTCACTTCAAGCAATAAATTCAAATTCGCGATTGTGGCTTAAACCGATCATGAACCTCTTGGCAATCTTTAGTGTTAAATTTTCCTGCGTTAGCAAAAATCAATTTTCACTGCGTCTCAATGATGCAAATGTATCGTTCTTATACGATCAGGTGCTATGTTCTTATACGACGTACTGTATATGTCACATAATATAGGTCGTATGTCATACACATATAAGAACGACATATGGGCTGATTTGTTTACCTTTAATTAAAATATTAATTTTATTACATTTTTATTATACAAAATACTATATAATATACAGTAAATTGTAAATGAGTATTAAAAAATTTTTATTTAATGTTATTATACTATAATTTGGTAAATATTTCTTTTAAATTAATATAATTCTTAGCATTTACTATATATGTTAAAAATTTGTATTTTACCTTAAAACGTAAATATCTCCAGATCCAGTGATCCAATTGGCAAGCTCTTTTTTCGTTCATATAGACCAGATCAAAGGCTTTCCAAAGAGCCTAAATTTATAAAAAATGGATCAGTGGATCCCAAGATATTTGCATTTAAGCATGTTAAAAAGTTCATACCTCAACTTTAAATGTAAATATCTCCCGATCTAATGATTCAATCGGCGAGCTCTTTTTTCGCCTATAAAGTCCAGAACAAGGGCTTTCCAACGAGCCTAAAATTATAGAAAACGGATCAGTGAATCTTGATATATTTGCGTTTAAAGATGGTAATACAAACTCTGACATAAAATAATTATTTTTATTGTTTTAAAATATTTATTATGATACCATCTTTTATATGATATTTTTATTATACTTTTATAAACATTTATAGCTACTAAGGCTATATAAATTTTTATTTTACTTTATATTTTATTAAAATATACTTACTTTTTAATAATATATGTTAAAAATTCCATATATATAAGAAATGGGTTTTTTATTAGAGAAATGGGTTTTTTCACAGCTCTTTTACATTTAATAATTTAAGTTTCGCAAATGTAAAATTTTGTTCAACTTATTATTTAGTCAAGTGATCATCAATCAGATGATTTTTTGGTATTACAAAACAATTTTGAGTAACAAAAATTGTGAAAATCAATCAATAACTCTTTTTAATGCAGAGTAGACAAATCAGCCCATATGATACATTTGCCTCAATGATTTAAAAGTGACATCATTATTACGTTATTACGTCAGTATGATTATAAAAAGCTAATCGTTACACCATCTAATCTGTCTTTTTTTTTCTATCTTTTTTCCGTTCCGTTCCTTTTTCATCTAATTATGGAAATAGCCGAGTTTTAAAGTACGTCACAAAGCATTATTAGTGTGATATTTAGACTAATAATACTTATTTATATAGGCGGTTGGAAAATCTCGAACTGCCAGAAGAAGAGTGGTACGAAAAATTAAATGAATCATGGATGAGAACCTTAATAACGGACTTCATTTACGTTTTCAAGTATTTATTGATTTCTTTACCGTGTAAAAAAAGTCATTCTGTTCTTTATTAAATGCAAAGTATATTTATGTAGGTACCAGAAGATAGTAATTCCGTATGGCCCTACAGGGAAATTGGTGGACCTACCAGACTTTCGACAGATCTTACTAATAACTGTGTGGGATGTAGTGTCACTTCTCTGGACCTACCACACTCAGACCGAATTCAAGATAATAGGGGACGGAGAGAAAATCGCATATCTTTCGAAAAAACTGGAAGAGTTGGGGGAAATGATAATGAAGATGGAACCGAAAATGGAATACCACGCTCACACTGTAAACCTAACATGGGAATACTCACGAGAGGAGGAGAAGATAGTGAGGTACATGTTCGGTGCCTCAGTCCGTTGCGGGAAAGCACCCAAAAAGGAGATGATAGACAACACCAAATCAGCAACACAGTCGAGAGTGAATGCGATGAGTGTGCTACAATGGGCCTCACATATTGCCCTAACTCCGGAACAATTAAATCTTTGCAAGCATCCTTTGGGAAACTGTGCCGAATCGGCAACATGGGAAGCGTTATGCGGGGAAATGAATTGTGTCATTTTGTTCTCCCGCACCCTAATCCTGCCCAAGAAGTTGGGCCAACCTCTTATGATCAAGAGCCCGTGTCTATTATGTCAAATTGTGGCAAAAATGATGTCTCTCCACAGGGTTGCAGTGATTCACTCATGGTTGTAGAAACGTTTGTAAGGGAACAAGATCGTCGGCGGATGGCACTTACTTTTGGCTATGATCTTCCCTTTGGTAGTCGCGATCCCAAAAGACTTTTTGAACTTACTGATTATATGGAGCGTATTGCAGAATTCGGTTTTAACCATATTATAGTCATTGGAGAGGTCGATTATGGAATGGTTTTTATGGATTGCTATGGTAGATTATTTCATTGGGAAGATGCGTGTCAAATATTGTGGCCAAGGAAATCAGATGATTGTTTATCATGGTTTGTTGATGATGATGGAAATGTATATAAATACAAATCATAATCTTAATGTAATATTTGCACTTGCGGGTATTTTTTTCATTTGATTTATTTTATTTCTGATGTAAAGATAGAATTTAAAAAATACAAAATTGCAAAAAAAATATAATTCTGCTTTTAAAATTTGAGTTTACTAAGCATGATGTTTGATCGACGTGTCACTGCTTAACAATGGGTTAATTAGAGAAAGGATAAATTTATGATTTTATTACTGTAAAACTACGGTATAACGTTTCATTCCAATATGTGGGTCCCGTTAACCCCGTTAAAACCTAAATACCAAGCGCAAAACTTTATGTAGGCAAACACAGAAAGCTTTGAGAATTGACGATTTATTCGAAAAAATAGGAATGGACAAGCTTCAATATATAAAAAAATATAGTGCAGATACTATTTTGAAATTTACTGATCCTCAGATTCAAACGATTATAGATCACTTCACCGAAAAACCCAATATGGAATTCACTGATGAAGCTAGGATGAAGAACAAGATGACGAGGTCCCAGAGGGATCCGATCAGAATAATGTATTGGAGGTCTTGCCTCCAAAGGAATCAACTACACCTATTCCATTAGCCCATATCTCTAATTCTTCTGATGATTCTAAAGAAGCCGGCCCAAGCAATTCTCTCGAAGCTGAGGATGATTACTACAAAATGATCTTGGAAGATTGTGCGAAGGATTGTGCGTATTTTGATTCCATACCCCAGTCGGTGAAAGAAACGAATGAAGGAATGCCAGATGATTCGGATGATGATGGATACGGTGGATGTAATGAATATGGTGAACGTAATAGAGGTTATTATTATCGTGATGGAGGATACTAAAGAAAAACCTCCCCAATTATATATGGTGGTGAATTAACCCATGGTAATTCGGCAATACACCATATAATGCCGAAATATATTACACCAGACCCGATCTAAAATAGCACATGCCGAATTGCCGTAATGCCGATTTGTGCTGATTTAGTGAATTGACGTAATGCCGAATTGCACCAATTTGGTGAATTGGCGTAATGCTGATTGGTCATAAATCATAATTGTCAAAAGTTAACTGAATTATTTTAGTGACACAGCTGATACACAACTTCCATATAAAGGTAGACAATTTTTTTTTGTAAAATTTAGGGGTCAAAGGTGTTTCTTTTTTATGAATTTTTTAAATCTGTTCAATTTTTAGCGAGATCATTGCCAATATAAATCAATGTATAATTTCCATATAAAGGTAGGTTTTGATTTTGTATAATTTAAAGGGATTTAAGTGTGTTTTTTTTCCTTCAGAAAAACTGCGTGACTTTACCAAAAACTTCTTTTCTGATAGGATTTTTAATAATTTATAGACGAAACTCTTTTTACTAGAGAACTAGTTTTGTCATTTAAATGGAACTTATTCTTCTATTTTTATGCAATTTAACCGGTAAGTATTAAATTGCTGGCATAGTGGAATATAGTGCGTAATTTACTTACAGATACTGTACAGTCGCGTCGGAAAGTATTGCCCGATTACTTACAGATGGAGGTTATGATTATTTAGCCACTATGGTTATCCCAGCATCCAGTGATCAGAGTTTGACAAATTAAGGCTTGTTGGATTCACCTCACCAAGATGAGTCCAATGTTAGTTGAATCATGTCTTTAGGTCCAATAGATGCCGAGATATACCTCCAAACATACTTTACCTGAAAATTTTTCGAAACTCTGAATTTCATAAAATCGGGAATAGCTCACTATCCAGTGATCCAATTTTGATAATCAAAGGCTCATTGGATTAGTCTCTTCGAGACGCATCGAATGGTGGCCAGCCCATGTGTATATTATCGATATATCACGAGATAATGGCTAAAACGTCCAAAATATATTTTAATGTATATCTTAGCATATATTGATCCTAGAGATATGATCCGACCACCATTCAATTCTTCTTGACGAGACGAATCCAATGAGCCCTTATTCGCCAAATTTGGATCACTGGATGCCAAGATAATCACGAGTGGCAAGATAATTATAGATTTCATCTTTAAGCCAAAAATCAGCTAAAATTAAATAAAATTGCAACTATTGATTTGCCAACAAATTTACTTGGTTTAAACAAAGTATAGAACAATTAGAAACGAACCAATATATTACCCAGAAGTGTTGACCTCCTCCCAAATGCTGTAGGCGAACTTAAAGCTGTACTGAAGAAAAAATAAAAATTTAAATAGTTCTGTTTTTGGGAAGGCTGCCACCCTGGGATTGTGAAAATTTGATGTAGTATGAGAAGTAAACTAGATATAAATATTTTACTAATGTATATACTGGTGAAAAAATACAAATATTTTTGTTTTTGTCTTCATTTTCAAATCGGGCATTACTTTCCGACGCGACTGTACGTTACTTCTTTATTATGGTTATTCGAAGCTTTTTTATTATTATTTTTATTTGGAAATATTTCTAACATTTTTTCTTTTTATTATTTTCAGATATTGCTTTCTTGGACAGTTGACTGATGGTTAGATAATACAGGGTGATTTAAGAGGATGTTTCTTCGATTTTCTTCAGAATCATTGTTAGTAGTAAAATAAACTACCTTTCCTTGGAGTGCACCTTAAGCAATTGAGCTATATTTTTTATGGTATGTTTCAAAAGAGGGTTCCTTGTTTTTTTTTATTTTTGGAAATATCATTTATATATATACTTTTTTTTAAAAAAAAAAATTTTAGAGAGGGACGTGACCAAGTGTCTTATTGATATACCAGTTCAGTTTTGGTTTCTATCGATAAAATTCAAATGAATTATCAAACCGAAAATTTAAGACTGTATAAGTAAGAATAATAAAACTGGATTAACTAGAAATTATGATTATTTGCGAAACTTAATTATTTTGCCAGTGATTAAGAAATAAAATATTCTCGCATCATAAGAATGAAATTCATGTAATTTTTTAATTTTATTATTTATTCATTTTTAAAAAGTGTAAACTAGAATCATAAACTTTATTAAACCTAAAATTTTTCATTATTACTTTTTAATCTTTGGAATTTCTAGGTGAAATTTTTTAATTCTAATATCGTTATCCTAAAAATTTGTATGATTAACGTGTTTGACGNGATAATCATGTATTCTTCCGAAGAAATTTTCCTAATTCTTCGGAATTCTACACAATCCGAAGAAAAAATATTTTACCCCTGAGAATCACCATTTTTGGATTGAACCCGTGACTTAATAACTAATAAACACTATCATTTTTCAAAATTGAATAAATTTTTCGCATTAAACCTTTTGTTAGTTATTAAATTTATTATTTTATATCCTGCATAAAAAGGAACTACAAGAAAAAACTGTGAAATTCGGAACTAGAATTTCCAAAATTCGAAACTCTTTCAGTTCGCCCTACACGATACAAATTTGTTAACATGTTATAGAATATTGTCATTTCGTTATTATGACGGAATTGTGAGAATTTTTGTAAGAAACGGGTTGAAAATTTGTCATTTTAACGTGTTATAAATGCTAAAAAAGGGACATTTTTCGGTTATTAGCTATTAGGAATTTTGTAAAATAGAACTTTAAAAGAAAATCAGATAAATCTTTAATGTTAGATTTATCGTTGTTTTATTTTTTATACTATATACTGAAATCTGATAGATTTATTATAATGCAGGTACTTAGTTTTCTACATATGCATCACGAACTTAATCCAAAAATGGTGATTCTCAGGGGTAAAAATTTTTTCTTCGGATTGTGTAGAATTCCGAAGAATTAGGAAAATTTCTTCGGAAGAATACATGATTATAGAAATTATGATTATTTGCGAAACTTAATTATTTTGCCAGTGATTAAGAAATAAAATATTCTCTAGGCGAAATTTTTTAATTCTAATATCGTTATCCTAAAAATTTGTATGATTGACGCGTTTGACGCCAGTTAATGATTGGCTAAAATGTAATCAGGTTGATCAATATTTATCGGAAAAAGTTTTCAAGTGCTATTTTTTTTCAAATTTTCTATTACAAAAGTTAACTAAAGAGAAATTATGGCTAATGAAACAGATTCTCTTGATGAAACAAGATCTTTTCAAGATCTAAATTTTGTAAAATTACCAGATCTTCCAGAAACTGAAGAATTCAAGAAGCCTGGCAAGAAAAAAAATGATGTATGGAATTATTTTATTGAAGAGGAAGCTAGAAAATTTGGCCACTCACCTAGTACTTGTGTATATTGTGGTAATGCTCGGAACAGAGGAAGAGTAGTTCCAGATATGATGGCACATTTAGCATTACAATGTGAAAAAGTTGAAGCTTCAGTTAAAGAACAATATTTCAGAATTTTTGCACAAAATAATGAGCAATCTTCTGGTCGAATTACTACAAGGAAGCGAAAACTTAATGAAGAAATTGCAACTGGAATTCAACCAAAAATCACATCTAAATTACAAAAATCAGCAATAGATCCTGGGCAACAATATCTTTGTAATAGAGCATTGACTAGATTTTTTGTATGCTGTGACGTCCTTTTTTCTACTGTAGAAAGTCCATTCTTTATTGATCTTGTAATGAATTTATGTGCTGGTTATCAATTGCCAGACAGGAAAACATTAAGTGATACTTGGCTTAGTAATGAAGTGGCAAGAATTACCGTTGATGTTGAAGGAATACTTAAAAAACAAGAAAATCTTTCACTTGGTAAATAATTTTTTTTTATTTATTATATCTCCAATAAATATTAATATTATTTTTATTTCAATATTAAGTGTTGGACGGATGGACAAGTAGCAACCATCATTCTTATTTTTCTTTTGTTGTAATTACTCCTGAATGAGAAGAATATGTAATTAAAGTTAAAGACTGTTCAAAAAAACTCTCACACTGGTCTTTTTACAGCATTAAAGATATAGGCTCACAGCGTTTTTCTTCAGTAGTGTCAGATGGTGCTAGCGCTATGCAATTAGCTAAGAGATTAATATCTGAAGAATATCCTAAAATTTTGCCAGTTCATTATATCACTCATCACATGCAATTAATTTGTACTGATATTATGAAAAAAAATCCATTTTCAAATAATATACTTATTAACTGTCAGAAATTTGTTACTTATTTTACTGAGTCACATCAATTTGGAGCTACTCTTCATGAAGAAATCAAAAAAGAGTTAATTGTTGGAGGTGGATTAAAAAGTTCTGTTAAAACAAGATGGAGTACTACTTGGGATTGCTGTACATCAGTATTACGTTTAGAAACTATTTTCAAAAATATAAGTGAAATTGTAGTTAATTTCTAAGTTAATGTCAAATTATTAAATATTTTATTATTATATTTCTAGATATTAATTGCTGATTCTAAAGCAATGAATCAAACTTTACGAAATTTAGTAAATAATCTAAATTTTTGGTTGAATGTTAAAAGTCTTGCAACTATTTTGGAACCTGCAAAAAATGCTGTAAAGAGTATTGAAGGTAAAAATGCAACTATGGCTGATGTTTTTTTAGCTCTCATTCAAATAGCTACTACTATCAAGGCTTTACCTACTGAAAGTACTGAAGAATTAAAAGAGTTTCGGCAAAAATGCATTCAATTTTATAATAATAGATGGAAGCCGTTTGATCATGAATTATATTTACTAGCATATTTTTTGCATCCAAAATTTTGTGGAAAAGAATTTATACTTGAGACCTATCAATTAATCCAAAAGTAAGCTTTAGCCTTATAGTCAAAAATGGGCGGAGAATTAAAATTAGCATTTACACTTGCTGTTCAAATGAATAATTATGATGATTTTAAGTCTCCTTATAATTTTCCTTATATTGACGAACTTCAAACTCCCCAATTATGGTAGTTAGAATGTAAACAATCAAATTATTATTTGCAAGAATTGGCTTTATATATTCTTTCTATTGTTCTTCATAGTGCAAGCTATACATGGCCTGGTAAATCATCAGCCAAAAACGTAATTCGTAATTTGAAATACATAAATAATTATGTAATTCGTAATTAATTATATATAACATAAATAATTACGTTAATCGTAATTATTAATGTCTTCGTAATTAGTCAAAAGTACCCGTAAATAATTACATTTAACGTAATTACCATAAATACTATTGGTAATTAATCACATGATATGTGAAAATGTGAGAAAAAATGCCGAAACTGATAGTTTGGCAGTTTTACATGTAAAAATGAAAAGAAAATCGCCAAAACTGATAGTTCCAGCAGTTTTACATGTAAAAATGAAAAGAAAATCGCCAAAACTGATAGTTTCAGCATTTTACATGTAATAATAAAAAAAAAATCGCCAAAACTGATCGTTCCGGCGTTCTTGTAGAAATGAAAAAAAAAATGCCGAAACTGATGGTTCTAGCGTTTTCACTTGTAAAAATGAAAAAAAAAAACGCTAAAACTGATAGTTCTGGCATTTTACTAGTAAAAATGAAAAAAAAATGCCAAAACTGATGGTTCCGGCATTTTTACTAGTAAAAATGCAAAAAAATGCCGAAATTGATAGTTCTGGCGTTTTACTAGTAGAAATGCAAAAAAATGCCGAAACTGATAGTTCCAGCATTTTTACTAGTAAAAATGCAAAAAAAACACCAAAACTGATAGTTCTAGCATTTTTGCTTGTAAAATGCAAAAAAAATGCCGAAACTATCAGTTCTGGCGTTTTTACTAGTAGAAATGTAAAAAAAATGCTGAAACTAATAGTTCTGGCAGTTTTACTAGTAAAAATGAAAAAAAAATGCTGAAACTGATGGTTCCAACGTTTTTACTAGTAAAAATGAAAAAAATGCCAAAACTGATGGTTTCAGCGTTTTTACTTGTAAAATGCAAAAAAATGCCAAAACTGATAGTTCCGGCATTTTTACTAGTAAAAATGCAAAAAAATGCTGAAACTGATAGTTTTGGCATTTTTGCTTATAAAATGCAAAAAAAATGCCAGAACTATCAGTTCTAGCGTTTTTACTAGTAGAAATGCAAAAAAAATACCAAAACTGATAGTTCCGGCATTTTTACTAGTAGAAATGTAAAAAAAACACTGAAACTAATAGTTCTGGCATTTTTACTAGTAAAAATGAAAAAAAAACGCCAAAATTGATGGTTCCGGTATTTTTGCTTGTAAAATGCAAAAAAACGCCGAAACTGATGGTTCTAGGTTTTTACTTGTAAAATGCAAAAAAAAACGCTGAAACTGATAGTTCTGGCGTTTTTACTTGTAAAGATGCAAAAAAAATGCTGAAACTGATAGTTCTGGCGTTTTGACTTGTATAATGCAAAAAAAATACTGAAACTGATGGTTCCGGCATTTATATATATAAAAATGCAAAAACAATAAAATGCTGATATGACTTTGTATAAAAAAAGCACATGACCCATGATCAGCCAATAATATTTACGTTAATTAAGTATGACATAAATAATTACGTATTTACGTATTTTTCAAAAAATCTGGTAATTAATTACTAGGATTACGTATTACGTATTTATATGAAAATAGGGAATTACCAGGCCATGTATAGTGCAAGCTGTGAGCGTGTTTTTTCAGTATTAAATTGGTTTACCCAAAAAAGACGAAGCAGGTATATTTATAGAATATTTATTTTATTAAAATTTCTATTTTTTTATTAAATTCTTTTTTATATTTATTAGACTTCTTTACTAAAAATGGCCAATTTTTTGAAATGATTTTGTAATAATTTTAAAATACTACAAAAATACATTTAATACATCAAAATGTTTTTATTATATTTTTGCTATTATTTTGTAATTGTATTGTATCTAGGTCTATAAAAATAACTTAAAATAATATCACAATAATTTTTTAATGTTTTTGTTATTATTTTATTATTATAATATAATTAACTTTGATATTATTTTAATATTTTAATCTCAAAAATATCTTAAATATATTTTGATATATTTTAAAAATTTTACAAAATAATTGCACAATTGTTTTGAAAGCCATTGTATCTAGGTCTATAAAAATATTTCAAAAAATTGGCCATTTTTAGTAAAGTTAAGGTGAAAAAAGTATTTAATATGGCAAGATTGCATTCATTTTATATTTTGAATGCACAACAAGAACTTAATTATGTTGGCAAAAATCTATCTGATGACTCTTTAGTGAAATAATGCAAAGTTATACTAATTCACTTACTTCAGATTCAGATATGTTTATTAATGAAATAGAAAATGATAATGATCCTTTTGAAAATTTGGTTTCAGAAGATGAAGAAGGAAATAATGATCAATTAACTGAAGATGATTCAGATTTAATAGTAGGTAATTTGATTAAATTAAATCATACTGAGGTCTGAGGAAGAAATGGAACCTGAAAAAATTGATCATGGTGAAATGAAATTTAATGTAGATGATATTCTTGCTAAAGTTAATAGCACTAAAGAAAATGAAACGCAGTAATTACAGTAATATTTTTTTTGTTTTTTTTGAAATAGGCAATTTGTAATAGTTTTTTTCTGAGTAGTAGTTTTATATATAATAAATTTTTTTATACTGCTTTTATATATTATAAACTTATGCGATAAAGATTTATAATTTGATAAAAATTATTTGAAGTAAATAATTAAAAGTAGTTAATGATTTTAATAAAATGTAATTCAACGGTAATACGGTATAATTTATTTTATCAATTTGGCAATTTGGCAATTCGTTATTTTGTTAATTCGGCATTACGGCAGTGCAATTCAATTCGTCAATTCGTCAATTCGGCATTACGGTAGTGTGACTCATTTTAACATTTTGTGGTGTAATACATTACATCACCATAATATTTCGGCATTACTTAATCCTAATTCACCCTTATGTATACTCCTCAATGATGAGTCCTATTATCTCTCCAGTAACTGCCTGCTGAAAGCGCTAAAGGCAGGAGAATTATCAAGCGAAATCACATATTCGTATAGACTGAATTATTATATCTTTTTTTCGAATCATGTGGATGGCTTATTCAAAAGAGACTGCAGTATTCTAAACCCGATTACCTAGCCAAAGGCGCTAAGGTAAATGTGCCGGTAAAATTCTTGCCAAAGAATAGGGACTGTATGATGTAAGATTAGCATATATATTCACATTATTTTTTCGACTTTATTTTCACATATTATGTCTCTGGCCACGCTATTATCATATTAATAAAACAATATTTGGGTATGAATATTTTTTCTGGCAATCAATATTTCGCATATGGGATTAAAGATATCTATGCTTATCATGAAGTTATTTTTATCGATTTACAGAAGGATTAATAGAATGATGAAATGCAGTGCGTAATTGCTAGTGAAAATCTGAGAAATATTTTCTCCTACAAAATTTACAAATGCTATAAAAACCCCATCTTTAGCTTTAGCCAGCAAGATAGTTGACCACGAGAGTGATAAGTGGGCAGGTATAGAAAACCAAAAGAGCGAAAACCTGAGTACTACTAATGATTACGATAACCTGGGTAACCTAATTTATTATGATAATGATGGTGGTGGTGGTAGTGGAAAAAAAAGTAAGATTACGAAACCTTGCAAACCGTTTTTTATTAATCATAGGAATATAGCTTATAATATCCTGAAGTATCTTGATAATGATATGGTTGAAAATAAAGAAATTCCAGAGCTAGAGCAATGTTCTGAGTATACAATAAAACAATATTTTGACATCACCCATCAAAGCGCTCACCATCCTCTCTTGCAGA